ACTGCTGAAGTCCCTTAGGACCCTTGTTGAGAACTCATAGCTTGAAACTTTTCTCTGTTGACGCCACTTTTCACCATCAACTGCGAAAATCCCATCACCTAATAAATCCTTCAGAATGATGTAATTGTATTGACCCTGCGCATACAGTTTTAGATAATCTTCAAAACAATCCTCATTTAGCATTTATGAAGAGCGAATCTAGTTTTACATAGTTTTGGTTCATAATTTTCGTTCTCCATCAGAAGAGCCCTGTGTTTCATTTAATCAAATTACAGCAACCTAACTCGTCAAAATAAGATCACACACAATTTTCTGTTTTAAAGGTTGTTGTGGCAACATGACTAACCAATTACTTTTAAGTTTACAAATTCATGACTTTTATTGTGCTTTCAACTAAAAGATTCAAACCCAGTACAGAACAAATGCCCAAGAATCAAATTCCTCAGTTTTCCAGATATTATGTCTGATTCTGTACTTTTTTTTTCTCTACTGTAGCTTTTATATAATTCAATCTCCAATTCCCAAAAGGAAGAAGTAAAGAGATGAGGGAAAGTCAGGTAAACACATACCTTTCCGTAATTCTCAAAGTTGGTTTTGAGTATATATTCAATATTGGCTGGCTCGGAGGTGTAGATCTCATTCCTAAGCGGACCGAGCAGCCTGTAGGTCCGGTACTTCCGGGCAAGATCAGTCATATAATCATGCAATCTACTGAAGTTGAGAAGCTGGTTGAAGACTGTGCCACCCACGGGATGATACTTATATTTTCTCTGATTTTTGTTCAGACTTGTAGCGAGGACCTTGAAGGTGAAGAGAAAGAGGATAATAACGGAAGCGGTGAAGGCGATGGTGCAAAGATCCATGGCTTCCCCGTGTATACCCCGGGCTTGGCTTGCCTAGATTCTTATACTATTTACCATTTTGACCCCGATTTAATCCCTTCGTTCAAAATCCGTTAAAAATCTAGTGACGTGTCCTTGATTAACAAAAGCACGATGACATGTCAACAATAAAGTGACACCTTAAACGCATACTTGGAAAAAAAGATGACATGGCAGTCTGACTTATTCTGCCCCTAAACCAAACAAGAAAAAAAAGTGGATCCCACATCCTGCAAAACTTGAAGGTTAAATATCCGATTTGATCCCTAAACTTTCATTTCTAAACTTAGTTCGTCCTTAGTTCGTCCTTTATGAAGTTAAAGGACCCAAATCGTCCTTAAAGTTTATTTTTCCATAACTAAATTGGTCCTTCCGTAACGGAAGTGCCCACTTGGCATGTTAAGTCTCTACAATTTAATACTTTTAATTTTCAAATGCTTACGTGGAAAAAACACAATAATTAATTGATGACATGGTAAAAATTATTAAATATAATATTGATAAAAAATAGAACAGAAAAAAAAATTCTTAATTGATTCATTCTTAATAAATTTAAAAGATTTAAATTAATTGATTGTTGTATTTAATACAGATAATTAAGGGATCAATTAACTCATAATTAATTTGATTATGATAACCTCATAAAATATATTAAATTAATTGATTCATTCAATAATTTGGGAAAAATTAAATTCTTTTAATTGGGTTTCATCCTCCTCTTCTCCGATGAAAAACTCAGATCAAAATTTGGGATTCTTAATAAGTCTAGCTAGCAAAAATCTCATCACCAGAAAACAATAAGAACAACCCACAAAATCAAAATCAAGAATCCCTAATGTTTCCTCATACAAAAGGGAAAAGCTTGACTTGTCTGCTACGATTTCCAAAGAAGAAAAGGAAGGATTAGGTTGATCATCATTCACTGTGTTTGAAAACCCATGTCTTCGAGTCTTTATCGTGGCGACAATGGTGGCGAGACAACCAAAGATCGACAGTAAACGAGCTCCTTGTTTTGGAGACCTTTTCAGATAGGTCGGAGGTGTATTTCACGAGGGCCACCGCCAGATCCTCCTCCGAATCAAAGACGCTCACCATCTTCCCTTCACTTTTCTCTATCACCATCCTTGTGTCTGCAACCGTCGCCTTTGTTCTGCACCCAAACCCCTTGATTTCGTGTCGACAACAGAAGCCCCTTCGAAAAACCACCATGCTTGCAAGGGTTTTCAATGTTGTCGGCCTTGAGACCAACGAAGCGTAGTACGAAATGAGATGGAATCTGGAAGAAGAAAGCAGGGTGCGGAGCGAAGTGGGTAAATGGAGAGAGGAAAATGGATTTGGAGTATTGAAAATGGAAATGGATTCTTGATTTTGACTTTGTGGGTTGTAACTAAGCATTTAAAAATTAAAAAAACTAAATTGTGGAGACTTAACGTGCCAAGTGGGCACTTTCGTCACGGAAGGGCCAATTTAGTTACGGAAAAATAAACTTTAAGGACGATTTGGGTCCCTTTTGAAGTTAAAGGACGAACTAAGTTCATAAATGAAAGTTTAGGGACCAAATTGGGTATTTAACCAAACTTGAACCCTTCTCCCCCTTTCTTCCCTAAACCCATTCGAACCTAGAACACCAGTGCTCTCCAGTTCCTCAGCAAGCCTTGTCTTCTTCATCATCATCAACCAACCAATCAAATCCACAGAAAAAAAAAAAAAGAGATTTTTTTTTAATTTTTTCTCCTGGGTTCGTTCGAAACCCAAAGCCAAACCCAGGCTCTGGGTTTCGAATGAACCCAGAGCCTTGTCTGGGTTCGTTTCATCATCATCAACCAACCAATCAAATCCACAGAAAAAAAAAAAA